AGGTGTTAAAAGATTATACTTAAGAATGTGTTCATTTATTTGATCTTTCATAACCTTCTCCAATATTTTCGACAAAGTGCACAGTATACTAATCGGTCTCAAGTCTTTATAGCATGAAGGATTATTAATTTTAGGAATAGGCTTGACATAAGCCACTTTCCATTGTGAAGGAAACGTATTGGTGTAGAGGCATTCATTTATAATATGCGTTATAAAAGTAGGATAAATGGATTCAGTCTGACCAATTTCTCCTTAAATAAATAGAAATTACCCGTTTTAGCAATTACATGTTGATGTATAGGTTATTACATCATCGATTACCGTTTACCATTGCATAAAATCAATGCTTTTACATTCAATGCTAACGAGAAGTTTTCATAAATAATAGATATGCTTCTGTCAAAATGTAACTAAATTGCGGCCAATTCCACTTATAACCAAATACACGTCATTACTATCAGACTACCCCACAGAAACGATATACGTTTTCCAAAACAAGTTAAAAAGAAAAAGGGAGTCCTTAATAACCTTAAAATAATAATGGACCTGCGTGTTCATCACAAATTAATTGACGTCACATTGACTGCGTTTGTCTATATTTAGATCATTCAAAGAAGTTAACCGAACGAGGTTTAATGAAATTTGTGGTGAGTTTCCTTTTTAGAGGAGCCTACCCAAAATAAAATAAGTACATGCAGAGTATTCCATCTAAAATAAAAATGTAAAGAACTGATTGACTGGACGTAATAACTAAATTATAAAAGAGCTACAGAAATCACATAGAATTGCATGTTATTGGTTCTGGATTGGGTTTCACTGTTTATTGATAGATGAAATATTTTATGTTGTAGAACGAATAATGTTAACAAACATCCCTTGAAAAAGAACGCAAAGAAGGGTTTCGGAAAGGTAGAAAAAACAAAAAGTTTAGGCACACGAAGCGGAGGAAAATCTGAATAATGACGCTTGTGGAAACCTAAGTAATAAAATAATAAGGTGTCACTTGGAATATGTTGGTAAACCATTTTCGACTGGTTTATTTGTAAACATTTATTTGGCTGTCATTAAGCTGATGTTATGATCTATATGTTAGTAGGTGTCTCATGTGTGTGTTATAGTGGGATTAAGGAATTATTAATAAATAAGTTGTAAATCAGCATATGCATGATTAAAGCGCATTTTTGGTAATACAGGTCAGTATTCTATTAGCGAAGTTTAAAATTATCGATCTCACGAGTCATTTTGGCTGCGTTAAATAATTAATTTTATTTAATTTCAATGGCGGGTACGTCTATTTTGCAAAACAAATCACAAAGTAAATAATTAAGTTTTTATACTGGTAGCGCTATTTAACGGTAAACTTATAGCACCTCCGAAAACCATATCGAAATTATTTTCTTAAAATATTATCGATCTCACAAGTAATCTAACTCAAAATAGACTAGAGCCTGCACATCTACACTATAGCAGAAAGCTTTTAATGAAAATTTGAAGTCTATTGTAATTGTTGAGATCTCACCCCGACAGCCGGACAGCCAGCCATAACGAATATAATAGCGTATTTTTTTCAATAATGCGCTAAAAAATATAAACTCGCCAACATGTCCAGCCGTTTTCATATTATAGAGGGTATTAAAAAGTTTGTGGAAGTGTACAGACCCTGGTACAGACAGATGAATAGATGATCAATGATGCAGACTGACAGGTCAGCCTTATTGCAAATTTGTCTACCTGAACCCGTCTAGTTTATTTAATAAACTGGTTTAACTGCTATTGCGTATTTATGTTACGGGTGGCGATTATTCATAATGACCGGTCAATGTGAATATTATGAAAAAGATCGTTTCAAAACTAAAGAACACTACCGTGGCGAAGAACGGTAATGTTTTGACGTCGAATGTGGCACGTCGGCAGTTGATAGTTTCAGATGCAATTTATTTCACCTCTTCCTCAATTTCCGATCATGTACTGTGTGAGAGGCCGATGAAGATGACGAGTAAATAATTGACGATATCAACCACACTCGTTTGGTGTCATTCGAAAGCAGAGAAACAAGGGTTAAAAAAAGGTTACTCGGTGCTGATGTCCCTCAAAGTTGGGTCAACTTTTTAGGAAAGGCGTTCGAAAAACGCCCAAAGTTTTAGCACTTGCCGATCGAAATTGCGTATTTTTGCCATTTCGAACTTATCTAGCGGCGATCTAACCCAAAATGCGCTTTTTGTTTCCCTAAGTTGGCTCCAAGTGGCTACCAATGGCACTACCTAAAATCGAGAAATTTTCGACATGGAAAATAAGTTTTCTGCTTATCGGGAAGGTAACACCGGCACTTCGCGGGCAAATCCGTTCTTCGAGCCGGATCCGAAAAAAAAATTTTTGCGGCCTGGGTTGCAATACGGTAAAAATAAAGCAATCAATCATAGTAAAATTTCGTATAGAGCTAGCCAGTTGTCAAATTTGAATTTTGATTTCGGAAAGAAGAAAAGTTCATCCCCTTCTTATGCAACCCGTTGCAGCCTTGTTTTAGTTTTATTTAAAGTTTCATGTTTTTGTAGACATTGGGATACTCAGCATAAGTAGTAAATTCTTTCTTATTATCTCGTAAGAATTGAAGATGACTACAGTAACAACAACATATTTTTACAATAAAGAACATAAATTGCTTTTTTTATGAAAACGTCATCCAAAAGAGGTTAAAGATGTTACCTACAAGTAATCTTGACACTTAAGAATAGGTAGTTTTATTGAACGAGAAAAAAACGTTGTTCCGAACAGATTGAAAAGTTTTCAGAGGGAATGAGCAGATGTCATCGGGAAGCGCAGAGATTGTAAGGAATTGGGAAATTATGTTGATGCATTCTTTTAAAGGGGTGCTTTGGAAAAGGTTTATATTATAAAATCACCTCAAGATATCAGATTTGGTAATTTCTAAACACTAAACTTGAAATATCTCTAGTCAAAGACAATGGGTTCGTTATCGAATGAACAAATTAAAATGTACATGGATTCTAAGAGTTTCGATCAGCACGTAATGTTGTAGTACTAGCGGTATACCAAAAGATACTGCATTTTGTGATACCAACGTGCCACTTGCTACAGCTGTTCCTTAGAACCATTTAGACATAGACGATTTGACCCGAAGAACACGTGACATTTTCCGTGTGGGTAGAAATGTATTCCGGACAGGATTTAAGGTAGCTTGGTAGGGAAGCCTCTCATGCACTTTCGATGCCCGTAGGTTGTTTTTGTTACCATAAATGATTTCCCTGACCCCAAAAACATAAATCTAGACACCTTACACGCCCCGGCGTGTCTTAGAAATACAATTCGACCAAAAGTCGGCCATTTTTTAAAAATGGCGACTTTTGGCGGACTTCCTACTACCATTGAAATCCTCGGGTTAAAATTATACGAAATAGACACCCAGATCTCGCCTCAAGGCTATATTTAGTTTTTCTTCAAAAATTTTACAATTAATCACCCCCACTGGCCCCACTCCCCTCTAAAATGTACCCACACGAACAACGTTACGTGTTCTTCGTGCCAAATCGTCTAATCGCCGTTTGCACCCAAGTTTGCACCGACAAATTTAAGCGGAGCTTAAAATCCATGGTAACGATGATTGAGACAATGGTTGTCATGGATTTTAAGCTACGCTTAAGCTACCCTCCACTTTAATTTGTCGGTGCAAACGGCCATAAATGGTTCTGTACCAAGTGGCACCTTGGAATCACAAAATGTAGTATTTTTCAAGAATTGCTGTTATATGGAGACATCAGTATTTCTAAAGGTTGGTCTCAGAATATTCGCGTTTATGTATTCTGGGCAAGGCGGATTAAGGAAGAGTTTATAGGAGCAATGGTAAACATTATGTTTGTTAAATGGTAAAGATCTTTTGTTTTAAATTAATTGTTTAACGTTTTCTATAAAATTTGGTAGATGAATTTATCTAAAATTTGGAAATCTTTAGCAGAACTTGTAATGCAGTCGGTTTTTCTTTAAAACCACAACAGTATCTTTATCACCTTCGGTGATTATCTAGTTTACTTTAGGTACCCGTTATCACCATGAGGTCCTAACATACTGAAACTTTCAAACAATGATTTAAATAAAAGTAAGTAATTTTCAGCCCACAATGTAATTATTGTCATCGCCGTCAAATTTCGGTGTTCAGCTCATTTTAAGGTAAATAGTTATATACTAATTAATGTCAGATACGAATTGAAGACAATGCACAAGTCGTTCCAACTTTTCTTCTTTATTAAATAGTGTTATGGGGGAGGTTTAGTGTTTTCTTAGGCCAAAGACGCACGAGTACTTTAATCTCATTTTAAGATATAACAACCAAGAATCGCCACCAAAGAAGTTCAAAATCGTAATAATAATCCGCCTCCATATAGGAATTTTATTGTGAATGGAATCTAAAGCCATATGGATATTAATTATTACTTATAAACAATTTGCCAATTTTAAGAAAGCGTACTTTGGTGACATAATATCTGTGTATTAAATTTAAGATTAAGATCGATAAACATTTATTTGTATGGCCTCTAATGCAATTCAAATTAAACGTAGTAAAACCTGTTATAAATTTTTGTCATTGCTAAAATCAATGCATTCCGGGCGCTAAAATTCATGAGTTTCAATAGGCCTGCATTTCGTACACAAATAATTTTACCTTCGTAAAAAATTCTAATTACACAAATGTGGAAGTTGCTTCAAGACAAAAACTCAACGGAAATAATTGCGGTCACAGTATTTGTATGAATGTAACAGGTGACCTGGGGCTGCAAGCAAATGTGTAATTTAGAAGGTACGACATAATTGAATAAAATTCATTAGTTTATCTCCCAATACCTACACTAAAATTATATCCTGTACAAAATTAATTGGCAACCTGTGGCTTCTACCAGAGAATACGGTCAAATTTAGCAGAATTCCGACTTTACGGCGTACATTTTTGCAATACCTCAGCAGATTATTATAATTGAGGAGGTACTTACTTGCAATTTTTGAAATTTTTCCTCGGCTTCCTTGTTCCCTTCATTTTTGTCGGGATGATATTGTAGCGCACGAACTTTATATTCGGCCGTAATTTGATCTACCTATAAAAGCACACAAATGATTTATTTAAAACGCAAACTGAAGAAAATTATTTTCAGACGTAATGAAAATAGCGAAATTACCGTAGAATTCTCGTCACATCCTAAAATTGCGTAAAAATCCTCATCCTCACTGCGCTGGTAATTTAAAATTTGATCTACAGCACTCATTATTATTAACACTTCACTTGACGAAATAAACGATACAATGACAATACAAGTTACTTCTACGAACTCTGGGAAATTTGTGACGCTGCCGGTGAAAATCGTACAGGAAAACCAAGGGACCTATAAACCAGTGGCACTTACATCGCTTGAGTTTCCATACGCATCCGTGCACGAAACATATGTCGGCAAGTGCACCAAGTATACTAACTCAATTCCTCAGTTAAGTGAAAGTTGTTTTGTTTTATAATTTCTGGGTTAAGATCATAATTACATAAAAATCGAGTAGATAATGTGGTATCTCTGGTATAAAATGTATGAACCTGCGCACATCGGTAACCCGATTTAATATTCTACCCAGAATCAATGATCCTCATCTCGAGCGCGTCTATTAGAACAAATTTTAGGATTTTACCGAGATTTGCAATCCTTTATGCGATGCTCCCGCTTGCAAATAAATTCGACATTCATTTACATAGCGACGGGGTTGCGTTTAAAAATACGATTCCTTTTAAAGCGCAGTCATTCAAAAAATTATGCTCGGTGTTAGTTAAATGAAGCTAGCATATCGCAAAAAAGGTGGAGGTTTTCACCCAATTCTGTTAAAAAATTCCAACTCGATATTTTCATGAAATGTAGAGCGTGTGATAAAAGCAATTGACCGTCGTCGGTCGGCCCGTAACACATTTGGTAGGCTTTCACGGTTAACTTGCTTATCAACATTATTGAAATTAGTTGCAATCAAAACGATTACTATGAACTGTGGGTTCTCTACATTAACCGCTTTAATGCCCACCTACTCACTAGACTATGAAATTTCTAATTTCAAATAGGTAATTGCGCATTAGGGAATTTTTTCTTTTCAGATCCAGATATCAACCGCATTATTACATGTAACCAGGTAATTCCTAGAAACTATTCAAATGAAAAACTGTGAAATAGCTACCTGTCAATGGCAAGACGCGATCAGATATTCGCGTAAGAGGTTTCGATTTTGAGTAATGGAAATCAGGAGAGTTTAGCAATGTTTTTTTTTCAAAAACTAGAACATCTTGACATCTCCTAAAATAGCACGGGTTAGCAACTCCAAAAATAATAGGTTTTCGATTTCTTATTTACCAGATAATTTTGATTTTCAATTTGGGTTTACCTATTTGACGGAATAAATAAATAAACGGCGTGTAAACCGGATCACGAAACGCGGTAGTGGTAGATCGGTATACGGGGTAATTTGATTGCACCCATTTTCAATAAGGTCAACTGCGCAAAGTTTGAACCGAATCAGTCCAAGCGTTTGACAATTATCGAGTTCAAGCAGAGAGCATCGACACCCCTAAAAAGCTTGCATCGCTTTGCTCTGCCGCTTAACAAAGCTATATCCCCTAACGCACTTTGTTTCATTGAAAGGGGAAGAGAAGGTATAAGTACACAAGATTTTGTCTCGAATGTGTTCCCTTCAGAGAATTGCCCTTCTCAAATTTCTTTTTAGCCCATTTTTGAGGCAGATCAGTATTCTATTAATCAGTTTTGATTCCACCACTAGCAAAATCTTGTTGGGGGCAACCACATTCCCTTTGTCGGTATCCATTTCCGATATCCCGTTCACGTAATTCGCGATTGAAGTTTTGACTTCACTATCGGTAAGATTTTGTCGGGCACAAAATAGTACTCAATTATTAGCGCGCTTCTCATAGCGAGATTCTATTGGACACACGAAAAAGAAAGACCGTGATTCGACCCTTAAGAAACTTTACACCGCGTGACAAAATTCGCAGCGGAAGATACCTGTTCGGCGCCCGAAGTCGACTACCCTTCAAAGACGCGCGCCTTACAAAAAAAGATCTTTCCGATGGCACTAATTTGAAAGCAATCGGACCAAAACTATAGAAGCAGATAGGAAAAAACTGAAAAATCTCTACGGTTGTACACCACGCTCGGGGATGGCACCCAGATGTCGCCGACCCCACATCATGCAGCTCCGTCTCTAAAGTTGTTAATTATACGGACCCGGTAGGTATATGTACACTCCTAGTTTGTTTACAGGCATGTAGGATTCTCTGGATTACGATAGGAGGGTGGACAGTGGTGTATGTGGTGTGCCGTCTCATCGTCTTTATAACATCTTCTACAGGATGGTGATTCTACCAAAAACCCAAGCGGTGCATGTGTTTGTTTAGTTTCCAGTGAGCAGTGCTCACATGTATTCCCGCCAGTAACCTCATGGTTCTTTCTTAATCGCCCAGTGCAAAAACGTTGCGAGATGGTCTTTTGAAGGCTTCTCTGGAAATCTGTATAAACTGCTAAACTCTAATTAACCGGGCCGCTACAGTGCAAAAAATTTTTATCAAAGTACAGAAGTGGTAAATTAAAAAATGTTTACGTTATTATTATTGTGAACCCGAGTCAAAATTTAAATTAGTTCGATGGATCTTTCCAACTGACTGTAATCTCATAACAGTTAAAAAGTCTCGCGGGGTTTTGGAGCAGGTGAAGTTGCTGGACCATCCACGTTATAGTCTCCACTTATCTCTGTGTAACTTTTTTTATTCCCTAAAGAAGCATGGCTGTTTTAACGATTGGTTTTATCGAATAGATAAATGTGTTAAGCTAAAAGGTGAATAGGTATTTTGAAAAACAATAAAATTTCTGATATCTGAGTAATTTTTGTCATTATAGTTTGGAGAAATTTTCGAAGCGAGCTACGTACACATAGGAGCTCGTATTTATTGTGTAAACTCCAGGCGGGTCTCGATCTCTAGGTTGAAATAATGCCGACGATGAGAGCAAGCCACCCTGTAGTTAAAAATGTACGTGTTGTAAACGTAATTTAAGTTTAGCATTGGAAGTTTCAGGCGGGACATCCTATGCAATGTTGTAATTTATTTGTTTAGGAAATAAGGGGCACTTTGTCGAATGGACACAGAATTTCAAGATTTATTGGTCACTGTAATGTTTAGTTTTTTTGTATTGTAAAATTTGTAAATTTTGAATTTGTATAAGTAATTTGAGGGTGATTATTGTATTTAATGAGTGTATGAAATTCAAGGAACGCATAAATAAAGAATAGTTATTTACATAAAAGTCAGGAAAATGACACATTACTGGCGAGGAAATATTGAAGGGCAGAGTACTTTAATTTCCGAGACAAGTAATGCCATTTTACTGACGAGTTTTGTATTAAATTTTACCTGAAATCCTATTTTGATATAAAATTTCAATTTGTATATAAAACTTCTGATTAATGTCAATCTGTCAATGATGACAGGAGTCAATATAGACATAGACACGCCGGCCCGTGTTGCGCAGTTCAGTTAAAGCTGTAGTTCTTACTACAGGTAAATATATCACATTCATTACTAATTCACATTCATTACATTTTTGTGTGTAGTTCGTTAGTAATTGCGTTTGGTTGGACAGACCAATTTAATTTTGGATATTTCTTGGTCAGACTTCTCCTAGATTCCCTAGTTTTTGTTCGTAAAGATTTTGTGCTGCGCTGTCGTGGATGATTTTATGTGTTTTTTCGTTTGCCGATTAATTTTCTGCATTTATCTCTAATTTTTTTCTAATCTCTCCTGACGTAGTTTTTTAATACTATCTTGTCCAAGGAGATCTACCTTGTAGTCGTTGTGAGATTCAATTTCTTCTAATAGGACCACTTCCCTTTATTTTTATCTTTAAGTTGTTTTATTTACTGAAAAACGTTTGTATGACTAGATGGTGATCTGATTCACATTCGGTATGTCGATTTACTAGAACATTTTTCAACATAGGTAATGCTTCGGTCTCTTAATGAATACTACTCTATGACAGATCTGAATCTCAATGTCAGAAGTTTGGTATATTGATGAATAATCGCTGTCGTCAAGCTGTGACCTGCAAATGTTCTATAGTATTCTTCCATTGTCTTACCTACTGTCTCTTCGCCGAATATCCCAAAGACCTCGCTTTTTTGTTCTTCGCCTAGTCTACTGTTCATAACCCGGATGACCATCATTTATTTTTTATTTACCATCTCTGTTCATATATAATGTTGAACTCGCACCGCACGTCATCACTGACCTATCGCACATACTTCAATGAATCGAACGTTAAATTAATGGTATTGCAGAATAATCCTGCATGGTGCTTTTTTTGTATCTTTAGAAATTATTTGTTAGGTTTTATTTTCGTGAACATGGGACATTTGTGTTTAGAGTAATTGGGTTTAGGTAATTAAATAATTGATACCATTCTTTTTACACAAGTGTCATATTAAAGTACGACGAAAATTCTTTAAAAAATGTTCCAAAACCCACTCGTAACACAAAGTATTGAAACGATGTAACGTCATCAAAAGCACACAAAATGTCGAATCTCCATATGGAAGCACGTCCACGTCCAGAGAAAGAGAGGAGTTAAATAAGTAAAATAAAGTTTCAAAGAAACATTACCATACATAAGAAAGTTGGCTATGAGCAGTCTGTGCAGTCACTGCGCATGCCCACATAATTTTCACCATGTGTGAAATGTTTGCCTTTACTAGAAGCATCTGTGGTTAACTTTTCAAAGAAATATCTCCATAAATATGAAAGTTGGCATTGCGCAGTCTGCGCAAAATATGGAGTTAAATGAAACTGATCGAAATGGGCAAATATAGACCATTAGCTATCAATCAATTAGCGAAAACGCGAAGTCTCTAGGTGGCCCAGGGGCCGAGATCTCGATGGAACGGACGGACGGACAGACGGAAACACGATCAGCTTTACCTCAACTTCGTTGTGTTACGCTAAAAAGTAGATGGTATGTTCGCGTGAACGCTTGTTTATAAAAGGGGTGTTGGAAGAAAAAGTACGAGGAAAAGGCTAGAATACGTTCCGTTACGATCAAAGACGTTGAATTTCTATCGTAGCTTAAAAATCTACCTCACTCCTTTACCTTAAAACTTGCAATCCCTTATTTTCACTTAGTTTTAAGTTAATTTACTTCCTTCCGTGGCCCCTCTCCCAATTCCCGTTTAATTAACACTTTGTTAATTATTCTCAAATAACAATAGCTCGAGTAACCCTGTTACTTTCTATTTCCTTTCACTGTATACACTTGGTTTGAATATCCCGCCAGTTTTCTACCTTCCCATAATACTATACCGCCCGCACCGTTCACTTCCCGGTGCAATTCATTGAACCGTCTCCATTTTGAAAATATTGAAGAACGTTTAAGCTGCAAAAATGTACCGGATATTGGATGGATTTTGCATACACTCTGTATAAC